CAACAGCTACAGCTTGGTGAAGAACCCAAGCCCAGGCGTAAGATCCCGAAGAAAACCCCAGCAGCAGAGGTCGAATTGCGGGCTTTGGACCTCGCCAAGGCGGACTTGGAGGAGTATGCGGCCCAGCGATCGAAGGTGCTGTTGGACAAGTGGGACTATTATGAGGCGTTGCGGTTGGTGGATGAGTTGGCGGAGGCGAAGTTCTTCGAGGATAGGACCTTCGGCATATGGAGGCATGGTGGAGCGGTTGGTTGGACAACAGCGTTCAAGGAGTTCCCGGACGTGGCAAGGGTAATGGCTAAGGTGGTGTTGGAGCTGGAGCCGGAGGCTACCTTCACTGCTATTTGCGTCATGAGAAATTCTCAGCGAGGACAACATCGCGATAGCAACAACGACGAGAAGGCCAACAACTATCTAGTACCGGTACGGCTGCCACGCTCAGGAGGAGGTTTGTGGGTTGAGCTATCCTCAGGTGATCGTGTTTGTGGACAAGTTGAGGAAAGAAGCGATGATAAGGGGACAAGGCGCTATGGGCATGTGCTAACGTTTGAAATGGGAAGGTGCACAACGTTTAGCCCCCGCAAGCGACATGAAGTTCTACCCTGGGAAGGAACACGCACGATGATGGTGGCTTATACACCGCAGGCCATGGGCAAGATAACTCAAGAGATGATTCAGCAGCTTGAAGATCATGGCTATGTACCTCCACTTTCTCAACTACCAGAGTATTTCATCTTGGAAGAGCAGAGGGCTCCGAGAGTGTGCCCGATCAATGTGGTTGAGGAGGAGGCCCACCAGGAGGACCTGACGCCCATAGCCGACAATGATCAGGAGTGGGATATGTTCTTGGACGTTGAGGATGGGATGGTCAAGGTTTCTCCCGAAGCAACGGCTCTACTACGACCTAGAGTGGCGAAGGTGGAAGTGAACTATACCCCTGACATTGAGGACGTGATCAATAGTCTAAAGGGTCCACTCGAAGTCACCCACACTGTGGATCCAAAAGATGCAATGGCTCATCTATCTCTATGGAAGGATGCTATCGCCAAGGAGATGAACACCGTCGAGGTCGCTATATCAAGACTGCAAGTGGGGACACCTGAAAGGAGAGAATGGTTACAAAACCCGCGTGCACAACGGCTTCCAACAAAGATGGTGTTTACGATCAAGCCAAATTCCAAAGCAGAGTTGACCAACAGGGCCACATGGGTGAAAAGGAAGGTTCGTCTTGTCGTCTGCGGGAACTTCGCAGCTTCGGAAACTATGTCACTATACACCGAGGCCGCCCCTTCTGAAGCAGTACGTACTGGTCTGGTCATAGCAAAGCGAGAGGGATGGTCAGTGGGAATTATCGACATAGTCGCCGCCTTCTTAAAGACTCCCATTGGGGATGACGAGGGGGATCCAGTTATTGTAGCTACACCACCGAAATTGCTACAGGAGCTGAACTTGATCCAGGCTAGTGAACTATGGGGCCTGGTGCGAGCTCTCTACGGTCTGAGGCAGTCTCCAGTCCTTTGGTCGCGGCACCGAGATAGAAGGATGGATGCTATGAAGCCACCAACTGGATTTGCGATGATGCGTGGACGTACTATTTCAAGTTGGTGGTCAGTGCGGGATGCAAGAGGAAGGCTGTCAGCAGTGATCCTCATATACGTCGATGACTACCTGATCTTAGGACCGCCAAGGCTTATTCAGATGCTAACCGACATGATCCAGCAAGAGTGGGACACTTCAGATTTGAGCATTCTCTCTGAAGAGAACGCAGTGAAGTTCCTTGGGATGGAGTTAACCCTACGGGGCGAGGAGATGTACCTCAGCCAACAGGGCTATATCGAGGAGCTCATCCGCGCCTA